TGTTTCAATTTTGCGTGTGTACCGTGATTTTGTGTCTTCATTATAACTTTCGTCTAATTTCAAATTAACCGTTTGAAGAGTTTCAATGTTGCACCCCATTGTTGAGTTTGATTGCTTGTCAAATTATGGTTTCCATTTGCGAATATCATTTCCCCTTTGAGAAGTTTTTAAGGGAACAAGCCATGCAATTTCCTCTTCAATACCCAAGATGTCTATTAAACAAAGAATTTCCACGAATGTTTAAATTGTTTTATTGTTACCTGAGTATTTCTCCAAAATTAATTAAGATGCAAGTAATAAGGTCTTTACGTGTAACTTCAAAGGTAAAGTAAGATTTATTGGGTTTCGACGCCATTTTAGATTTCTAATTTTCAATTCTAGAATCTCATTAGAATTTCGCGGGCGTCTTTTGTTTTCAGCCATCCATCATTTGCGAGTTGCAGCGGGACAAGTTTGTGTTCGAGCACTGGGTCTCGCTTGCGTTGTCCAAAGTTGTCGAGTTACGCCGAATGCACGGAACATATGCACCGTCGGATTACGGGGCTGTCTAAGCGAGAGTTTCTAAGCTGTAACTTAGCCGAAACTTGAGCTCGGCTTTGAATTTTAAGCTGAATGTAATGCGCGTCACGTTAGCGCGGGGACATGTGGGCGAGTAATTGCGAGAGTTAGTTGGCGGGACGCTCTACACGATGCCATTTGAATAGTATTTGTTACATTTGGAGACAATTGTGCATTGCGCAAGATTTGCTTATTTTACAGTAAGCTCACCATTATCTGAAGCTTTGATTCCATAAACAAAATACCTACATCTTTGAATATTATACGCTCATTTCTTCCCCAGAATACACCGCACTTAGTTTTTACGGAAGCACAATATTACCTACTAAATAACGAAATCAAATTCCAATTCGCGCATTTTCTTAACCAGCAAAAAATGCACACATACGCGGCCCAAACCAGATTACACCGGATTTATGCGGATAAAATTTTCGCCTAAGCTGTTCGCAGCTTAAACTTGGGTTTAGGTTTGCATTTTAAACCGAACGTACGTACGTCACGGCACGTGTGACTAATTGCCGGCGGGATTGCGCCTCCCTTTGTAGTTGCCGCCCTTGATGAGAATTTTGATCTATGTGCGGAATTTAAATCTTTTGCGGAATATATGATGAGTTTTGGTTTGAATGCGGGAATCGTTGAAATGCCGGCTTATTTGCGGTCTTATTTAATTAATGATACGGTGTTTTAGCTACATCTACGGAGAAGAACTAAATTAGAAATACCTAATATCAAATCAGGCCTTATACAAACACTGAGCCATGTAAATCCCCTATAGTGGCTTAAAAAGCTTACCCCTTGGTTGTGACCTAATGAGATATTATTCTGCCAAATAATGCCTAATTGGCACAACACTATTGCAGGAAAAATTTCTTAATCGGCTTAATCAAAATTATCTCATTGTCCCAATTGGCACCAAATCACCTACACCCAAACACCATATTGCTTCCCGGACAGCTGCGTCTAATTACAGTTGTACGAACGGGTACCTGGTATCTGGTATCTAGTTAAGAACTGCACACAAGTGCGGGCCATAACCGGATTGCGCCGGTGCGAGCCGGTTCGGTACAATCAGATTTCCCAGGCACCGGGAGTGGAGACCCCTGCTGCTCAAACTGCGTTAGGTGACGCACGGAATGTTTGCAGCCAAACACATTCGGATAGCTGGATGCGGAGGGAACCCAATTATTGTTAAGGGCACTTGGAGGAGATACAGCATTTTGGGAATTAATTGTAGTAGAAAATATGGGTAGGATTTGGGCAAGCTCTCAGAGCTTCAGCTTCTGAGATTAGCGTTACATGTGACATTGCTATGGTCTAGAAATTAGAGAGTTGTGCACTCTCTCGATTTGTTGGAGCTCCCTAAATTCTCAGATGGCTCACCATTAAAACTACGAGTATCTTTGCTACTTCTTCATTTTATTATGAACACAGAAAAGAAATATTTAGTGAGTAAAAGAAACTTTATGGTGACTCATATAATTTGGCACCAGGGTTGTGAATTGTGACCTCCGTTTGTTACAACTGTCTATACAGAATTGTACACGTTGACATAACTGAAACTGAACCAATAACGGCTCGTCTTTTTTAAAATTTTTGCTATTCAAAGGATTCGAATCCACAGCTATCCTGGCTTTTTATTCTAGAACTTGTATGAACCAAGTCGTGAACCAGGCGCCAAACGCTATTTAGTCTAAATGGCCACCCATCCTCTCCGCACCGCGTGAGTTGAATTTCGGTAATTACTACATAAGCGCCCTGAAGGTGGAAGTTCTAATTTCCTCAACGATCTAGAAACTATTGCAGTAATTGTCTAAAACTATAGTGTTAAAGTTTGCCGATAAGTGAGCTGACGCTGCTTTTAGTTCCAGTGAAAATAGCTGAAGTAGACTCGAGTTTAGGTACTGAATATACACTCGTCGTCAAATAAATCGCACCTCCCGCGACAAGCACTTTGAAACGTATGCATCCCCACTTCCCACCAATATTGGCACCATTTAAAAGCCTAGTTCTAAATTTCATTTCATTAAAGGAAAGGTTTTTACCCTAAAAATTTGTCTTTAGAAAAATCCAGAGTCACTTCTTCAAAAAATAGGTAGTTATGCTTGAGCCAACTTTTATGGCTATAAAACTGTTAAGTTGGGATTAATCGTTATCCATCTGTTAAAGAGGACACGTGGTATCATTATTGGTTTTATAACCATAACATTTGGTCTAATTGATCCCAGAGGTGAGCCCAAAGTGAGGTCTTCTTTCAAGTCACATTTATGGTATATGTTAATCTTTTATTAAGAAATTAAATAGGTTTTTCTTTAAGGATATTTATTGGGCTTTCAAATAACACCAATATTGTCGGGGTACCATGATTGTGTCAAAAGAAAATCTTTAAAGTTCGCGTCGCGGAAGGTGCGGTTTATTTGATGTTGAGTGCAGTTTGCCTCGGAAAGTCTTTAAGTTTAATGTATTACAAACATTAATTAATTTTCCTCTAACATGAGGATTGATTGGCGTATAATCGTTTATCTCCGCCCTACAGGTTTCGTAGTTATGAGTTAGATTTTCCTGAGCTCTATCTCTACATCAATACTAATTAACATTGGTTCAGTGGTTTACGCGTAAACATGTTGCAAATAAAATAGACAGATTACTTAATTCGCATACATAGAAAAGATAGATAGTCTACCATAAATAGATTAGGGCGTATATAACGTCGCAGGGAAATAACTCAATAAATAACAAGATATTATTTGGGTCTTATGAAAATATTAGACAATTTGATCTACGATAATATGACCCTTTTGACCCTTTATATTTCATAATTACAACGCCCATTCGCTTAATTTGTTTGGCGCCCCTCCGGAATTTGTTATATCACCTATAAAAGATATTATCGTTACTTATTTCGTGCGTTAAAAGGTTTTTATGGGAATTTTCCTGTGCAGTTTTATTTAGGTGTTGTAGATCTTCACCACATTTTTTTTTAAACTGCAAAAGATTTATCTTTTATCAACGTTAACACACTCTAGAAATATACATAGAAAAACTTTCTATGCAACACCTTTTACCATCTTTAGTTTCGTAATCTTTTTGAAGTCTCTCTCATTTATCATATCAATAGCAGAATTGGTATTTGACGTCATCATCACCAGACCAATCGAGGTCGCCATAATCGGAACCGGCAACCAGGTAAATCGTTTCAATATCGCTTTAATATCGTTTCGAATATTCGCCGGCTCATTAGGCAGGTTGCACTGGCCAGCGATATTAACGGCCAGTAGCCGGCGGACGGTCAATTAATTTAATTAAAACAGCAGCCGCCGGCGCCTCGTTGAGACAACTACTTCCACGTTTTAGATCATATTTGCCGAGCAATATCGTTTTAGGGAACGTTTAGTGGCTGGCCGTAATAATAAACAGGAGTTGAATATAGTAGCGATATAGTTAACATGTTATTCTATCTTCTGCTTAATTGTAAAATTAAAAGAATGAGTGGAAAGGGGACTTTATGTAAAAAGCAATAGGTAGAAAAATTTTAATGCAGTATTATTTTCATTTCCAACACTAGTCGCTTGCGTTTCATGGGAAAAATGTTTGGAAGTAGACACCTAGAAAATGCATAATCATAAAATAATAATATTAAATTGTTAATTGTACTTTAAATCCAGAAGCAATATTAACCAAGCGTTTATCGCCTCTAACAGAATTAGGCTTACCTTTGTTTGAGCAAATAAATGAATTCAACAGGGGATCCCTCATTTATGATGTTTGCAGCGAATAAAATTACCCGAAGCCAACAGCGGATGGCATTAAACGGGATAAAACATACTTTCCGTTGGGATGAGCATAATGATCGATTAGGAAAAACCTTAAAATTAAGTAACTTGAGATATTATTGTAGGCAAACTCTACCATACCTTATTATTTTAGACGAATTTTATATCTGACCTGGCACTTATGACTTGAATGATTTTTCATCTTCAAGACAAAGGTAAATCTTGGGTTTTGAGATTTCAATAATATCTCTTTAGATTTTCATGTAAATAATACTGATTGAATTTGAATGTAGCATCCCTCATTTTCCGAACAGTAGGGCTACTTCGAAATGTTGTACGAACTTTCGGGTCTATTTGTCACCGTCGCTCGTGCTGAAATCTCGCTTTGCGTGAGAGAGATGGCAACATCGAACCTTCGGATAACGTTTTTCAGAGTTACCCCCAGTATGGGGAGGATAAATAATGAGCGGCAAATGTAATGAGGACGAAAGAATAAACAGACGGGCACTTATTGGGCGCTTAATCGCAATTTGCGAACGTTAATGAACAAATACTTACAATGTTTGGAAAGAAAACTCATACGGCAGGTGCTCTTTGTGCTGGATTTAAATGTATTTTCAATTTTGATGAGATTATTAATATTGTTAGTATATTCTCATTTCAAAATTGGTGCTAGGTATACAAGAGGATCCAGTAATGAGCCTGTAAAACGCCATTTTTTTAAGCAAAAGTGAAAATAAAAAAAAAATCAGTGCTGTTAAGTTCGTCGTGGTATGGAAAATGAAATAACATGATAACTGTATAACAATAATTATAATTTCCATAAAAGTACAGCTAGTCAAAAGGCTAAGTACGATCTAGATGTGGAATAAATTACAAAAGGAGATAAAACGTATCTGCTTTAAAACTATCCTATGTGGTGCAGTACTAAAACGCATTTATTATGTGATCTATGCAGCTCGACGAGAGTTAGTTATGAAGTAAAAATTGAATAACACGGCCCGTGCTTCGGCACTCAAACTATTAAAAAGTCAGCGATGTAAAGTTATTTCATCGAGTTAGAGCAATATTAGTTTTATACAAACACTGCCGTTCCACCTTTATGGCGGCATTAAATATGTATATCGTTTGCCGTGTCTCGTGTTTCTCTATTTTAATGTTGCAAACTCGAATTGAAACTGGTATTTGATATAAAAGTTAGAGGAAAAACTATTTTGTTCTTATTTCAGGTAATGAAGCTAACATTTTTACTGAATTTAAGAGAGCCGCGAAAAAGTTGTTTGTTTGGTAAAGTTTTAGGATCCTTTGTGAGATTATAAAGTTAACTTTTATATGTTTTACAAAAAAGATTACTTTTGGAAGTTATTATCTGTTAACAGGTGCAACAAAATCCAATAAACCAAAGAAATATCATGAGTTTACGTTCAGTTTTGTGAATTCCACAACCACAATATTTCGGTTCTCCACTGTTTAGATTTAGTAAATACAGTAAAATTAAATGCTTTTTGAACACTGCAATTGAAACTTTGAGCTGTAAAAAATATAAACACAAATAGTACAAATAAAAAAAAAATGATAAATAATTAATTAACATTTACACTTGCGTACACCTTAACACAAAAACAAAAAATAAAAACTAAACGTAATAAAACATGTAGCGTTCAAACTCACCCCTTTAGCAGAGCATTCGTTGTTATTGTGGTCGGTGGGACACTTTGTATGGTCGATGTATGGGAAGATGGAGGTGCAAGTCTGGTTGACGCAGACCAGGTTGTCCCCGCATGGTGTCCCGTCGCGCACCAGGCCGAGGGGACTGATCTCGTCGTGCTTTGGCAGGCCTGTCGTGGCTCTGGAAGAAGTAGGAGGGAACATAAGCCTGTTTTAGAAGTTAGTGTGTTTTTAAATTATGGTCCAGTGCCTTTTAGGGCCCTCGCCCACGGCGATGAAACGCGTGACATCATCGCTATTAACGCGCGTTTTTCGCATTTGCAACGCACTACAGAAGTGATGCCAATTGTCAACACGCTACAGCAGCGCGACTGCATCGTTACAAAAAGCTGCCGTGGGCGAGGGCCCTTAAAGAGGATGTTAGGGCACTAATGGGTTTTCAGCAGGCTTGACCATCTATTATTGTCTATCTACCAGGCAATGCAGTTAAATTCTCGTTAACTCACCACGAAAACCTTTAAATTTAACGGTTAACTTAGAAAAGCAAATTTAGTATGACTGAGCCAAAAATATATACTTACAGATGTTAAGATATCGACATAAAATATGTTTAAGTGAAAGAGTGGATGGACTACATATAGACTACAAGTTTGCTCGTAGACATTAGCGAGAAACTACCAGCACTTGCTATAAAAAAGTACATTATTGATTGAATGTACAAGAAATTGTTTGTCTTTAAAAACTGAACTCGGGCAATTGCAGCTGAAGATTAAAAGAAAAGACATATCTAATATTGTGAGTTCCTTTAATAAATGCTGTTTTCGTTCGAGTAAAACTTTTTTATAACTGAGTCAGCATGTAATATACGTCGTAAATCGTAACTTACTTGCACTCATACTCGTTGCCCTTGATAGTGATGACGGTTCTCGTGTAATACTCGTCCATTCCCGGGACGACCGGGTATCGGTTGCCAAGCTGGCACTGCAGCGAGCCGCATCTTACATTCCTGTAATGACATTGTTTATGTAATGAAGGCTGTCTAGTAGATTTTTGGCAAAGGAGGACAATGCTGACACAGTATCTTGAATTCTTTGTAAGATTAATTTATTCTATTTTCGATAACTCAATTGACTAAGGGACTTTTAACATGATAACTTTTATTAAATCAAATGATTTATTGCCATACCACACGTTACATAGGATTTTCAAAAATAATATAGGTCAGTTATAGATCCTACCGGGCACAGCCAAAAATTAGAGGAGAGACTGTAACAATTTTGACACATTGCGCGTTTTTTAACCAGTAAGAAAGTTTAAGATACTCCAGACAAATGTCGTAGAGCAATTCCATTTGCCCTGAGTCATAATTTACACATACGGGCTTAAAAAAAAAACTTCCTTATTACCATATTCGCTTGAATACTCACTCAGTCTCGCACTTGATGTAATGCCCACTGTTGTCTTTCCCGCAATGGCCCGTGACCGCTCCCTTCGAGTTGAACTGTTCGAAGCACTCCTTGTCGGCGCCAATGGTGCCGGGCCCCCAGATCCTCTCACACTGAAGGCTGAGGGTCGGGCACTGACCAGCGAAGCAGTACCCCTTGCCATCCTCACAAGGTTCCCCGTTCTTTCGGTAAGCGTCGGGTGGACACGAACCAGAGAGGCCGGTGCACATCTCTTCGAGGTCGCACTCGTTGGTTGCATCACGGCAGATCACCCCGCGAGGTTTTAGCTGGTGGGGAGATTTGATTGGGTGATAATATTATGTCTCAACATTAGTTTATTTAGTTAGTATTTGTAGCGACAGCGCAAATTCGCGACAGAATCGCGACTCCGCGACATGTCGCTACGACAAACTAATAATATGAAATGAGGCGCGAATGCGTTTTGTGGCCGCGTCTGTTACCGCGTTTTGTCGCCCAATGCGCGCTGTCGCTTAAACTTAAACGCTTAAAATCGCAATAATCAAATAGACTGGAAGAACACGAATAGACCCTCTAAGAAGCATTGCGTCTCATAAAACAATATCATAACTTAGTTTAGTCCAGAAGAAGACACCGCCAATTTTAATTAAAAACTAACGATTGAATAGAAAGATAGTTGTTTAGAAAAAATCCTTCAAAATATTTTATTTCAGAATCAATTAAAACTTTCGTCGTTGTCATCATTTAACGCTAAATTAATGAATCAAATCAAGTGCAATTTATTTGTTAACACTTTCCCGGACAGTAACGCAGACACAACAGAAGTTTAATTGTTATGCATGCTATAGCAGTTCACTGTCCATGAAAGTGTTAAGGACATTTTAAGAAAGCTTTAGGGTGTGTTGCTCCACCTTATTTTAACCGTACGAATAACAATAACCGGTGCTTTTTGTATGCAGTTTGACAGATTTTTGCAGTTTGTTAAAGGTAATGTAAGATGGTGCAACTCAGTCTTAGTACGAGTATAGCCTCACCTGGCACCTATCGCAGCACTCTCCCGAGGCGCATTGGGCCTCCTTGGTGAGGCGGCAGGTGAACGGGTCGCAGCAAGGGTTGAGGCTCTGGCAGTCGGAGATGGTGCCGCAGTCGCACTCCTCGCCCTCGTCCAGCTTCCCGTTGCCGCATTGATGGTGTATCACCAGCTGGGGAGAAAGTGGAAACGAAAAACAAATCTCCCGTAATAACTATATTATCCTATCCTACTAATATTATAAATGCGAAAGTTTGTGTGGGTGTCTTGATGTCTGGATGTTTGTTACTCTTTCACGCAAAAACTACTGAACGGATTTTGTTGAAACTTTACAGTATTATTGTTTGTAACCCAGATTAACATATAGGCTATAATTTATGCCGATCTGTGACACTAAGTTACACGCGGGTGAAGCCGCGGGGAAAAACTAGTTATGTATAAAAGCGAAAAGTCATTGACTTACTGACTGACTCACCCATCACGAAATCTCAGAAACTACAAGTGCTAGGAGACTCGAATTTTGCATGAGGGTTCCTTTTAAAACGTAGGTGCTCACTAAGACGGGATTTTGCAAAATTCAATCCCTAAAAGGACAAAACGAAGTCTACGCGTACGAAGTCGCCGGCGGCCGTTAGTCTTCTATAATGCAAAGTATCCTTCAGATACATTCTTGCTTTATACAGAAGATGATGAAAATGTACGTATTTTTTTTGTGTTGCTTTGTGTTACCTCAAGGAACGGTCGATAGCTCTAGTAATTAGGCATTAGAACTAGATCAGTGAGTTGTAGTGATGTAGTCTCATGACGCGGAAATAAAGCACTCACAATCATCTCCCGATAAATATGTAAACGTTGCCAATCGAAGTGCGGGAGCACGGTGCATTATCATTTGGAGCTATGTAAATTTATTCCAATAAGCCCCGCGCTCCTGATATTATATATTCGCAAACGAAGAGATAATTCTGTCCTCGGACAGATCCCATTACCATAAGTTTTATTAAAGGAGTGGGCCTCGCGGAGGCCGCCGACAAACAATGCTTCTCTGCTGATTAATTTTCGACGTGGGAATCTATTTTGCATGGGAATGGAGGCCGAGTCAAGTAGTCCGTCAACTCAGAAGTGGGAAACTTTTCGCGGAGCTAATCTAATGCACGAATGTGGTTGTGGGTGATTTTGTAAAGTAATTTAAGTTGGATTCTTATGTAAATTGGCTGCTAAATTTAAATTCGGCGCCGGGTTTTGTTCGGAATGAGTTTTAATGTAGTAAATACTTTGGGGGTTGCTCGGGAAGCGGCAGGTGAGTCGTGAGTCGGTTATTTTGACATGACTGAACTTCGGTGTTTTCCTGATGACGTCACACAATTATAACTCAGTTTACCTGTCTCTTGAAAAGTAGGGATTACTGCTAATCGAAACTGTTATGTTTTATCTTATTGTAGAATCTGACACTTTCTAGTGATTTAAATAATAAACACCTGCCTCCCTGGATAAGTGGTAAAATGTGACAGTTGTATCGGTCGAAAGGCCGTTTTTTCGTTTTTTCATTTCGTCGCCCCGTGAACGGATTCGATTTCGATTCGACCAAAAAATGCCATGTCTAAACCCAGAGAACTATAATAAATCACTAACTTCATTGGGCTTATTGAGCAAGCAGAGCCCCTGTCCGATCCTGAGCTCGTTGATGTAGTCGTTCTTGGAGCAGTCGGAGAACTTGTAGGGCTGCACGTTGTCGGAGCCCACGATGGACTGCGCCATGATGCAGCCGTGCCAGTCGCGGCAGAAGCACTGTTCGCGTCCGTCGTCGTGGCCCATGCCTGGTGGAACATAATATGTTCACTATGAAGCATTGTAATGAATAATAATCAGAATCTTTTTTTGCGTATAGAGAAAGGTGAGGTAAATTCTTGTATTGACACCCATTTGATCACTGATTGCTTCAATTGAAAATTATCAACTAAATACATCAATATTAAGAAATGAGGAACTCTTGATTGAAAAACGAATCTCCATTTGATTGTGTCTCGTTATACCACTAGACAAGTTAATCTTAAATTCGACTGATAAACTATACCATCGTTTTCACCATTGCAACCGCTGCTATGACCAATCAGAGGAATTTCCAAACCTTGACGTATTTACCAGAGTAAATACAAATGAGTTGACCAACTCATTTGTATTTACTCTGGTAAATAGTCTTAATAGTCTTCATAGAAACGCACACACTGACAAAATTAGGCGCAACCACGACTGGCTCCCCGATAATCCCCGTTAAATTTTGGCAGTGTGTGCGTGCGCGCCGCATACGTGTTGGCGCGCTCACATACAAACCGCGTCCGTGCGTTTCTATGAAGATAACCAACTCATTTGTATTTACTCTGTATTTACTCAGAATAATGAAGGAGAAGTCTAAATTATATCGACTTCCCTCTATTTCAAAATGGCAAAAGCATCAGGTTCAAATACTCGTACCATCATATCTGAATTGTTGTTAATGACTACTTCAAAATCTTACCGATATTATGGCCGATCATGTGCGCCATGGTGCCGGCTAGCAGATGGGGTTCGTACGTGTTGGTGTCCACTGAGATGCCCACAGACTTGGGCGTGCAAAGCGTGTCGGGAACTGATATGCCGGACTCCCCACCAGGAAACGTGAGGCCGCTGGAAAAGAACGTAAACTTTACAATTTTGAATTTTCTAAGTCGGAAAATCTGAGCTTCAATCAATCTGGGTTCAATGAGGTATGATGCACTACGGTTTACATTGAGGTATTTAATCATAATACCTAGCAGGTATCTATCTCAAGTCATTCTTCTTCAAGTCATAAGGATGGTTTGTCTGAATGAAGTTCAACCAAAATTGAAATTCACAACATAGTTCTACTGCGTNCCCCGATATTCAGTTCGTAGTCTAGTTTTTTTCAGTAATGGGTATAACCCCAAAATTATAAAATTTCGAGAACCATTGCTACGAACAGAGTCGTTTGCTACGAATAAATGTAGCAACGTTTCTACGGACACCAACAAATATTTAGTAAATCCACGTGTATGATAATAGTCAAAATAATCGATGACAACTTAACAACGGTGTCCAGTTTTTTTCAGCGAAGGAGGAGTTCGAGAACAGCATTGCTACGAACAACGCCGTTTGCTACGAGACTACGAATAAGCGTAGCAATGGTGCTACGGACACTGAACAATATTTAGGCTGAGGTGCCCCACCTTACTTTAAACCTTTGAGGTCAAGAGCCATCTGCGCTCACGGTTATCAGCACAGTCCTTCCGAAAAACAAAAAACTTACTTTAACCGTAACTATAAGCATAACCGGTGTTTTTGGCTTGGAGTTTAACTTACTTTTGACTTTTGCTTAAGTGAAAAAGATGGTGCTACCCAGCCTTAGTAAATCCGCGTGTATGATAATAGTTTACGTCTTAAAAGGACGTTGACAACTTAATTGACTCATAACCAATTGTTAAATCAATTAATTTAATAACACCCTCAATTATTCGAGCCATAAAACGATAATGTTAAAGCTGGAAGCTATTACTTCACCTTCAACAGATTAAAATCATTAAACACATATGTGCAGAGGCGTTATGGCGACCCTTTCCGTAATTATGGCAAATTAAGTACCATAAGGCGTAATTTTTAATAACGTCCCTTATGAGACATAAGGAGGAATATTTTAAACGTAATTTTCTTGATTACCTCGTGTGAATATTTAAAGCATTATAAAGGCAAAGGTGATATTACTGACTATTCTGCACTTAAGTAATTTATTTAATTATGATTGCTGTTAATAGCACTTTTAAGTCAGTTAGTTTAATTTTAACTTCTAAATTAACTCAAAGGTGACTGACTGACTAACATAATGATCTATCAACGCACAGCCCAAACCACTGGACGGATCGGGCTGAAATTTGGCATGCAGGTAGATGTTATGACGTAGGCATACGTTAAGAAAGCATTTTACGAAACGGGATCAACGCGTACGAAGTCGCGGGCGGCCGCTAGTTAAAGAATAAGATATCTAAGAAAGTTTTGAGTTCGTTCTCAATTCAGTATCATTCGTTTGCCCAAAAATATTACATTCAAAAGAAAATCTGTCCTCTAAATTAATTTCGAAGTTCTCATCACTAGCACTGACGCGATCTACTAAAATTCAGCTGCAAAGTTCTGAATGGTTATCTGGCTTAATAGTCTGCACCTGAGGCCAACTAGCAAAAAGTGTGCGACCAAATTTGACTAGCTCGTGACTACTGGAGCTTGAAAATACAGATTTTGAGGGAGGGATTTTGGGCTAGAGATTATGTTAGTTACAAAAGCAATATTTTAATCTTTAGATAACAATTTGTTAGTATAAAATTTACGAGGAATAATATTGCTAATTTTAAGTTCAATATAATGTACTCGTATTTTAGTGATTTAAAGTAAATGCTTACCCACATCATAACATCATTTACCTAAGTCAGTTTTGTTTCTTCTTATTCATTGTACAAAACCAAGTATTATGAGTGTGATTTTGAAATAAGTAATGTAATGAATATGTAGGTATGTCTAAGATACTCCTAATTCTTGGAAATATATGAATTGAATCTGTGTTAGTATAAAACTCTTTTATTTAAATTAGTTTTTTTTATGCATAATAAGGCAGATATTTGACCACAATCGCACCTGATGTTAAGTGTTTAATCTTTGCAACAAATCGTTACCACATTTCCTGCTCCTATTCTATGATTTTGTTGTCATATTTATCGACCTTAGCACCCCAGTTCCATCAAGTTACTATCTTTGGATCCTCTATTTGCCGTCAGATCTGATTGCCTAGTTAAGGTGATCGGTAGCGCAAACATGTGCATTGACAATCACGTGTACTGGAGTTCCGAATATTGTTCTAACGCGTCCGTATTCGTTGACAAATTCAATATTGGCACGGTAGTTCGAAACAAACAAATGTTTGCGATGGAAATTATCATTCATGGTACTATTGTAGTTGAGAAAAGCAAGCTACTACTAAAATAAATGTTTGATGATTCCTGGTAGCTTTTGGGAACTAAAATAATTTTCAATGTGTATTAAGTTATTTTAGTTTTCGGCATTTGTACCTCTTACACCATTTTGCCCTCTGGATTTTGGATAACAGAAAGATATAATTAATATTTCTTTAAAATTGTAGGAGTATCATAATATGAGTATCGTAGCAATACGCTGAATAGGCACCTACGGTACAGAGTTTTAATTGAACCTTTGTTATTTCAAACACGATAGAATTTTCTATTTATACAGAATGTAGGTATACAAATATATTTACAACTTAATTAAGGAATAACACATGACCCAAATAATTATAATAAAGTGCGTTTCAAAGTTTGTTCTTGACAATATAACTGACACAGAAAATATGGTGACCTGATAAAAACAAACTATATTTTCATATACTCAAGTTAATATCTTTAATTTAATGGTATATTTTGAGTAAATTGACCGCACTTCTGTCAATGGTAGCACATCAAAACACTGATCTATGTGTATTTTAAATATTTTACACAAACAAACACCCTCTATAAGACGGGTAGGCGCTGCCACGTTGGAAATTAGATAAAATTCGTCGTATTTACAAGGGCTGGAGCGAAAGGGTCGGGACTATCTAATTTGATTGCCAAAGGTTAAATTAAAGGTTGATTTGTACAAGTTGTCCGTAGACAGCAACTCAAATTGCTCGATGCCGGGACGAGGGAAGAAAAACAAACGTTCAAGGCTATTAATATCAATCGATAATAATATAATACAGATAGGTAGAGTGTCGCTGTTGTGATCCAGAGAGTAATATTTGATTAATAAGGATCGATTTAAAAAAAAACTAAGTACCAGTATTAAACAAAATCAGTTTGAGGAAAATTAACAGATTGGTTATTGCAGTCTTATAAATCCAATATGAATATACTATTAGTGGTTTTCTTTGGGACTGTTGTCTATAACAATACCACGTTTATTTCGTTGGTTTCAGCCTGTTCTAATGTTCACTGCTGGACAAAAACTTTTCCCAAAGATTTTTACAATGACTGATCTTGCGCTGCCCGCATTCAGGTGATCTCCGCGACCTTTACTAGATCGTCGGTCAACCGAATGGGAGGACCTACCCACACTACGTCTTGCGATCTGTGGTTGCCCCTCTAGAACTTTTCTTAACTCGTGTTTATTTATGTGGCTTCTATTCTTCTCAAAACATACACCCCGATGGGATGATGACTATTGATCCTTCTATCTACGCCAATTAGGTCGACTTGAGCCCTGATAATAATATTACATTATTTCTGGATAAAGAAAACCATATTTATGTCAAGCTTATTCCAGGTAATGCGTAGTTATTTAAATTAAGGTACTTGAGGAAGCCAAAATTGACGTAGTTTTTGTTAGAATATAAGTATTGCTATCAATGTTTATTTGTAGGTATGTCGCAGGGCAGGAATTCAGAAATTCTCAGTTTTTATTAGCACTTATCCTTTTTTTTTAATTCAAATCTTTATTTGCATTTTTATGAAGCAAAAGGTAGGCCACACCTGATGTTAAGTTAGATGAAGTCTAGGATCGTATTTCGTANGGCAGCTATACAGGGTGTTAGGTAAATGGGTATATGAGCCGACACTAGCCCATGTTAACATGGTCATATAAATGGTATGGTGAAGTCAGAAAATTGATATCTTCATTTTAATTATTTTAATTTTCATACAAATCGGATTTTATAAAATTTATTTTGTATGAGAATTTAAAAAATTAAAATTATGATATCAAATTTCTGACTTCACCATACCATTTATATGACCATGTTAACATGGGCTAGTGTCGGCTCATATACCCATTTACCTAACACCCTGTATAGCTGCCCAGTAAGCGCCTTGAAGAGACCTAGATAATAGTGTTAGGGAACAAACATTTAAGATAATTATTTTTTGAGCATCATGTGGCCAGACCTTTATAACGAGGATGAGTATTATCTTCTATCGCCAGCAGTTGTCCGTCTACGTTCCTTTAATACTCCTTTTGAACTAGACGGACTGTGGAATTGAGCTCGTAAACTTGTTTAAACTTCAAAAGGACTTTGCAGCATAAAATCCGCTACAGAGAAACGTAAAGTAGGTTCACTTTCTACGAGAATTTTGCGATACGAATGCGCTTTTTGTTAATTTGTTGGACAGGTTTTGACCAGGGATTAGTAAATAATTTCTTGTGGTATGCTACCATCATTTCTTTATCCGTAACAGTCATAAAAGTCAGAATGTTAACTTCGACGCGCGCACATTTTCTTCTGACATTCAGGTTGTAATTTCCTTCTATCTTGTTTGTAGTGTCCTTGGGTTGTACCGAGTTTATAACCCTATAACATTATGACAGGCCTCAATGTGACTAAACGGCTTAGGCACAGAATAATAATAAGTAACTACTACGGTTTAGGCTGAGTTGCACCACCTAACTATAACGGTACTATAACGATAACCGGTGCGTTTTGTATGGAGACAGATTTTTGACGTTTGTTCAAGTTAAAATAAGATGGTGCAAACAAGCCTTAATGTAGGTATCCTGTATCTCCTATACACCAGGAAATAAACATTAATGTAGTCACTGTATTCCGTTATATTATGATAAAGCTATCGACATAAACCATCCCCGTCGTAGCGGCAACTCGATATCAACGTGTCCATCTCAAGTCGTCGCTCCCTGAGTTATGACGGGATATCCTCCATCTGTCGGGGCCTTATCGTGGTCGCATCTGGTTCAAATTAGCGATGTACCCCGACAAATGCTCTCAACTCAAAACACACCTTAAAATTTGAATACTACAGCACAAAATGCAGTTGCAACCCATTCACGCGCGGTAAGCGCCTTTCAGCTATTAAACAGATTCGTTTATCGCTGGAATTAATACGTCCCGTTTCGCTTTCGGGATTAATTTTCGAGATGCTTAGCGACTGTCTATGTTGCGTTGCGCTCAAAAGCGAGCAGCGTAAGCAGATTTCAGCGAGCGCTGCAAAAATATTTATCTCTTACAAATGCAAGCGATTCAACCGTCTTAATTAAAGCACCACAATGTTCTTTGAAGTGCGAGTTTTATTCTTCATTAATTATAGTGAATATTCTAATTTCAAACGCTGTGAAAATAAGAAAGTCGCTGCTACACTGTAGAGAATTCCTTTTAGGGTGCCGCTTTTCTAGTTCCTTTTCTTTTTGAGTTTGTCGGAATGGCACTGCAGTGAATGTAGGTGGAAGTAAAAGTATAGAACCGCCGCCACTTCACATAATGACTGGGTATGCAATGTAGCTGCCAGAACCTTGGCTCGGCGTATAATTAAAATATGGATTGCGATGTGGCACGTGTTGCTCGGATCCTTTCCAAACTCGCAAAGTTGCGGGTTTTCATATGATATTAAAAGGGTCCTAAGTGAAGCTGCGGAATAATGAAGAGTGTCGAAGAGTTTGCGTGGTTAAACAGTCTTGGTATGATAATTATAAGGCGGCATGGAAATCTTGATGGTTAATGTAGCGATTACGTATTACTACTTAGCGCCGACTTGACGAGAGATGAACTCTGAATAATCTTTTCGTGGTTATAATATTGAGATATTGCTTGATCTCTCGAGGTAATAAACAAATAACTTTAAAAAAAGGCCGTTCATTCTTTAACCGAATTCCTTCCACTGTTGACTGGTGGACAAAGGTCTCACTCACGGATTTCCATAACGACTGGTTCTGCGCTCGATCTGGTAAAAGTCACGGGAGCACGTGGATGCGGGCATCGCAGGAATAATGGTTGTGGGAATAACACCCGTACTCACAAACGATGCTTGCTTAAGTGAAGCAGCAAATCGAACGCACAGCGTTGAATAGAGCTTTGTGATTGGTTCGTGTGTGACCCTGTGCGTCCACGCGCACTGTGAGACCTCATAGTAATGTTTGTGAATACGGGCGTAAGTTTATTTGATTAGTGGACTCACGTGAGCAGCTGCGTGGTGTCCTTGTCGATCTTGAAGAGCTTGCGGGCGGTGTAGTCACTGAATTTGAGGATGGCGCGCGTGATATCCTGCTTGCGGTCAATGTCGGCCTGGTCCGCGCTCTGCCAGGACTCGATGTACACCAGGGACACCCGCGTGTTCAGGGTACGGAAGTACTGGGGACAAAAGATAAGGTTATTACTCAAACTCTTTACTATCATGAAGCCTTTTTCAGGGAAATTAAACAACACCGTCACCTAATCAGAAACGAGGAGATCCGTAAATGAATGAAAGTCGCTGACATAGCCCGAGGGATTGGCAAGCTGAAGTGGCAAGGCAGGGCACATAGTACGCAGAACTGACGGCCGATGCGGCAGCAAGGTTCTGGAGTGAAGGTCACGTATGGGAAAGCTCAGCGTAGGACGTCCACCAACAAAGTGAACGGACGATCTATCCTATCCTATCCAAAAATACTTTGGATTGTAAGAAAATTAAATAGGTACCAATAGAAATTAAACACATTTATGAGACCTGAAAGTACAGACATTGAACTAAAACATCGATTTCGCAACCACTCGACGACCCCACAAGACCCCGAAGGTGTTTTACAAATTCCAAGTCAACTCCAAAAACAAACTTTGGAAGGAATAGAGAGAACTTACACAGATAACAATGGAATTCGAGCACATGCTTGTAACGCTTCAACTTTACGTGTGATTCTTGCTATCAGGAAGTTCGTAAGACTGCATAGTCAATTCGAACAGGATTTTTATTCCCTGCCCATATGTTAAGGGAAGGATCGGATATTGTCTGCACTTTGGTAATGTAATGTAAGATGGTTTACTGTAAGTTTGACCCAGTTCCTTGGCTATAAGTTAAAGTATAGACTGAGACTATGTTACTTAAATTGTTTACTTCAGAAGATATTTTCAGAACTTCTGCCATTAAAACTTTACTGCACACACGAAAATACTCCAGTCCAATTGGAAATGAACGCAGAAGATCGACTTCAGTGTTGTCATCAATTATAAATTAAAAGGATAAGTTGGTCATCATCATCATCATTTCAGCCATAGGACGTCCACTGTTGAACATAGGCCTCCCCCAACGCTTTCCACGTTGATCGATTGGTAGCGGCCTGCATCCAGCGCTTCCCTGCTACCTTAATAAGTAGATATTAATTTTATTTTGCTTGCAATGCTTCTCACTCGAGGTAAGGTTGAGTTTTGTAACCGAATATCGTCAAAATTGTAATTTTATTTTATTTGAGGAGATTCCGATTGTATTTGTTTACCAGCGAGTAAATACAATCTCAAAGGGCCAACGTTTTCAGTGGTTTTTAATATGAATCTAGAACTTTAGGTTCTTTATTATGAAAATTGTTACCAAAAGTAAATATTAATAACAATACTGGATCTTTCCTTTGTGCGATCGAACCATTGAATCCTTTGTTTCCCCTATAAAACGAAACATTATTCATTTTCGTATTATTTGAATAACTCAAAGGGCTCATGTGGAATTTCACCATAAATTCCGGGGAGATATGAAAAACTATGCTATAGCGGTCACAGCAGAAGTACATGCAGCAGGATCATTAATTTATCTATCGTAACCATACTAGCGCCGCCAAGACAACTAGGAGTCGGAGTGGTCGCCATGGCCGAAATCAGTCGGATGGATCATCACTTCTTAAATTAACATTTTGTCCCTGTTTTACATTGTACAGAACTTGAGTAGGTAAACTTTAAAATAGTATAAGGAAGGGTATACATAATTACCACGATGAAATTCTATTGTAACATATTTTCTTTTTCGCAATAATATGCGCATTTTCTTGTAAGAACACGTCCCTATTTACTTCAGCTGTGAATGTGACCACGGTTTCAATCAGACGGATAAATACATTGGTTTTATTTGTTGATGCGAGATGTCGCTACCTAACGAACGAAAACAATAATTAAAAAATAATTTTGCATAAAACAAGAGACTTGATGAAAAGTGGATGGTATTTTCATAAAATTAGGCTCATTTCTTAAAAATAACCTGGGCAAGGTAAATTGGAGTTACTAAGCATCGTTCATCTGTGCCCGTGTTCACAATAGGTGCCCGCATACGAGTCGGCCTTCATAAATCAAGGGCTGGCACAAATTAACATTAACCTCAGAGCGGAACTTGTTATTAATCGTGGCTTAATATTACTCTCGAACTTGTGCCGCTATTAATAATAAATTAATATGGTAATATCTAAATGTCTTAAATTTACATGCTTAAGGCTGAGTTGCACCACCTAACTTTGACCGTAACTATAACGATAACCGGCGATTTTTGTATGGAGTTTGACAGATATTTGACGTTTATCAAAGTTTAAGTAAGATGGAAATCCTTAATGACTGATAGTTTTTTAATTGAGACAGTTATCTGGCTTAGTGGTTATCACTATAAGAAGCAAGAAGTTACGAATCGTGGGTTTAGTTGCCTGAAAAAACTACCTTATTTCACAATTTACAGGTGCTTTACGAGTACCTTGGTCGATCTTTGTATTTGTTTCACTTTGAGAACCGGACTTAACACTCGTGGTAGATCTTGGAGGCTCTCCATACCACAGCACAAAACTGCTGCTTTTAGAGGAAGTTTTAGGTACCTGGCTACGAAGTGCTGGAATAACCTTCCACCACCCATTAGGCAAGCTATAACCAAGTTTACTTTTAAAAGTAAACTTAAAAAGCACATACTGGCATTCCAAAAAATCTCTAATGGCCAGGTATAGTCGACCCCTCTAATTTGACATTATTTATAATACTGACCTGCTAATCCTATTCCTGACATCTAATTTACATAATTTAATATATCATTTTGACATTAAACTAATTTTCACTTTTTATTTATTTAATTTTTCTTTATCATTTATCATTTGTGTTTTAATGCCCTTGCGAATTGCTGCGGCGATTACCGCCGCTCTCCACTTTCGTCGGCCGCCGTCTGAAAATCAGCGTCCAGGCATTAGCTTGTGACACATGCTGAGACGGAGACCTTTTGCTGCCGCAACTCTGCTCACATTTCATAACATTTCTCATTGTTATTTATTTTATTTATTTATTTTTTTTTGAATGTGCATGTTAAATATTGTATTATGTTATTTTGTTGAACTATGTATGTGACTTTGTGTGCAGCAAATAAATGCTTACTTACTTACTTACTTACTTACTTACTTACTTACTTGACGATCAAGGATTAGAAACAAGATTGATTACTCGATTGAAATTGAAATTGTAATTTTGTGTTAGATTTTTTTTCTCTGGCCTTAATTTGAAATAAACAAAAACAATCACCATTTAATAATGATCTAATAATGAAAAAAAAATGGGCAGTTTAAAACTCGTGGATAAAACGACTAAGAAAAAGCTAGTTCAAATAATACCCAGATTTTGAGCCCAGACAGAAACAAACCAGATAAATGGAGTCTAAGGAAGTTTAAATAATTTTTGACTCAACACAAAGATTTAAAAGTTCACTGGTCTGCTGCCAAAAGTTAAACTGTTTAAAATTATCAAGTTCCGCAAAACACCAAAAATTTGCGATACAAAACGCGAGCGGGTGTTAATAAATTTTTATAATACCCATTTGTGTGTTTGGGAGCAAAATTCAGTGTCTTGCCGTGTTTGTTCTGTTTATCCCATTTTCGGCTGAACCTCAAAGTGTCAACCCTAGTGTTATTACAGCTGGGCCCAGTGTAATCCCCACTTTTTATCGCATAGTGGAGAAGTGGTCAGCGGCGTGCCGGTGCTGGTATTGGACAATAGTGATCCTTATACCTAGGGAATAAGACTCAAGGGTTTGTACACTCAAGCCCGTTTGTGGGCAGCTAAGCCTCGACTATAACAGCGCATCCAGAGTAAATGTTTATGACGGCAATGGCGCTAGCATCGCACGCTCGCAATTTTATCGCATGATGATTGTGTGCATTTTGTCCCGTACGCGAGGAGCTTTTATTTACGATTTATACGTTGAAGTGTTAGTGGCTTGATGATACTGCTTCCTGCCGATTTTGTTTGCTTAATAAAGTGAACGTGGGCTGTGTACATTGACATCGAGTGGTTTTTGTTGTTGTATGTTTTTTAATTCGTTATCTTTTTATGTTGGCTTTAAACTCTACATTCTTTTCCTAACAGAGCCCGATTGTCGTTTTACCATAGCGAGATTTTATGGACGCTTGTTTTTTCTTTGTTCCTTCTTACGCTGATGTTAGCCTTTTAGGCAAAAAAGACTCGTATATTCTGCGATATAGTACTCGAGCTCGATTGATAGAAGTTTATTGAATACTCACCAGGTCAGCGATGTTGGCGACCTGTATCGCGTCGTGGACGACTTCAGACCGCGTGCTGCCGTTTCTTCTGTCGAACATGGCCTTGTCGATGATGAGCGCGGTCTCGATGTACTTGGAAGTCCATCGAGCGCGATTGATAAGTAGAAACTTATTGAGTACTCATCAGGTCAGCGATGTTGGCGACCTGTATCGCGTCGTGGACGACCTCAGACCGCGTGCTGCCATTCCTTCTGTCTAACATGGCATTGTCGATGACGAGCGCGGTCTCGATGTACTTGGTGGTCTCGCGTAGCCTTAACTCGTGCTCTATAGAGATGCTGACTTTCGTGTTCGGAAGTATAGTACTCACCAGGTCAGCAATGTTGGCGACCTGTATCGCGTCGTGGACGACCTCAGACCGCGTGCTGCCGTTCCTTCTGTCGAACATGGCATTATCAATGATGAGCGCGGTCGCGATGTACTTGGAAGTCCATCGAGCGCGATTGATAAGTAGAAACTTATTGAGTGCTCACCAGGTCAGCGATGTTGGCGACCTGTATCGCGTCGTGGACGACCTCAGACCGCGTGCTGCCGTTTCTTCTGTCGAACATGGCCTTGTCAATGATGAGCGCGGTCTCGATGTACTTGGTGGTCTCGCGCACGTCGCGCCTGCGTCGATTCAGCGCGCGCAGACCGGACTCGTGCCACCAGCGCCACGCGCGGTCGTCTTTCGAGTGGTTGTTGTCTCTGGAACAAAGTTGATGGATTAATAAGAGATCTAATGAATCTGACGAGGAATCCAGGTTTGGTGGTTTAAGTGTATTAGGTAGGATTATTATACCAGCTGTAGTTGCGGGTTCGGATCTCATAGGAAACAAATATTGGGGACAAGTATAAGAATTCTGCCTAGAGTCATTAAGGTGTATTATGTTCGATCATATTTATTTTCCAGTTAGATTACTCAGTACACTTGGTAATTAGTGTAATTAGGTAAGTATTGTTGTTTGTTTTTTCTTTCAATAGAAAAAAACTTTATTGAAGTGGTTTAATGTCGTATTTACACCTACTGTCAAAAAATCGCTAATGTTACGCAACAAAATATTATTTAACTAGAAGTGTCTCTCATTTTCAGGGTAGTCTGAAATCAAAATCAAAAATACCTTATCGAATTAAGATTCTACCTAAAACTCAATCTTAGAGGCAAACATGGAGATGGAAATTTCAGTGTAAGTAATTTAATTTCCCTCATCGAACTTCACAAAAACATAACGGAATTTCGAAAATGCTTAAAGCAGGAAATTATGTTTGGGTATGACCGCGTTCAATTAGAAGATTTCATCCGCTAAATTTTCCAATTATTTCCAAATCCTCAATTAAGAGAACATTTTGTAACTAAAATACAAATACTACGAGTTGCGGTAAATATTTATTTGCTTAAACTGTTTTCCTCAAACATATTTCTTTGAAATTCAACTCAAGGAAAATGCTGGACCGCGTATTTGTAATTGAAAATGGTTTATCCTCTCAAATGTAATTACGCTGCATTTTTCAATATTACACGGGTTCCTTTTCAATTCTACGAAGCTAGGATTATTAGACATCTTAGGATTACATTGAGTAGGCCCACCGACTCTACATGAGAACTTTTTTTTATCGCACATGTGGTAATATGTAATGAGGGTTTTCGCGATTGAAAAATCCGCCAGATGGCAATACGTAGACGGGAGGTACAAATGCTGCATGATTGGTGGATTTAAACATATCTGTCAATGTCATGTCAAACTTAACCAATCATGCAGCATTTGGACCTCCGGTCTGCGTATTGCCATCTGGCGGATTTTTCAATCGCGAAAACCCTCATTGAGAACTCTACTTTTGTCCGACTTAATCAACTACCAAAAGTAGGTAACTCAATAAAAAAGTAAAAGTAATTTTACGTGTCTTTTGTTACATTATTTTCAGGACATTAGGTTGAGCCTACAAAATTCTTACTTGTTATGTTTTACCTACTAGACAGTGTACATAATCACAGTTAGTCATAATATTTTGTTCCATCATGTTGGTTCACGCGATTAGGGTTTAAGTACGTACCTATAATATAGCTCCTGAAACATGAGCCCTGAAAGTTATTTCAGACATAAGGCTTTATTGAATCAGATTTTCATCAAGAAAGGAAACCATAGACAGGCAGAGGTATGCTCGCGACGCATGGATTCTCAACCGTTTAAAAATATGTTCATTCTGCTCTGTTCAAAGCTCATCCCCGGCGCCTGACACGAAAAAAGAGATTCCATCATTCGATAAAATGATATAAATTTTTAGCAAGTCGATAAAAACTCTTGAGTAATTCCTCCGATCCGTCCCGGCGGAGGAATCCAATGCCACGCGACATTTGCCCCGATCCAGTTTAGAAAAAGCCGCGCATAATTTAGCGCAGGATTAATCCCTTCGGGGATTATTTCTGGGAACAAGATTGGGACGGGCGGGGTGGTATTTGTCAGGTAGTGATGTGCTGTCAGTCATTTGCATCAATTTTTAATCGGGTTACCGTTTGAAGAATTAGGATATTTTAAATGTCATTTATGAGTCAGTTGAGCATATTACTCGTTTGTTAGTAAAAATACATAGTAGGTATAAAAAACTATGTATGGAAGATATTTTTTCAATTTCACGCAAAGCAAAAGATTTAAAATTTCATTGATTCAAACAAAAATAAAAAAGCTGATTCGGGAAATATTTTTGTTCTGAACCGATTGTGTATAGGATTACGTAGTATTTTTGTGACGAAAAACATGTAGTTACGAGTAGGTATGAACAATTTTGGTCATATCATATAATAACCGTTGCTCCCGAGAGTGGCAATAAAAATAACGACTGGTCGAATATTTTTTTTGACTTGTGATTTTTACGCATTCGTAAAAAGTAAATTACCGTAAAAGTTTATTTATTTATGATTTTTATAAGATAATTTTGTATATTTTTCTAAACTAATGTTGTATTCGATAGAAAAACGAACGTTTGTGTCCAAAAATTAATTAGAAATCGATACTTTTCTTCGATTAAGCTATTGATAAATCAACCCATCCCTACGCCGAGGCGAGGCCTTGTTGCCGTGGGAAATGTACAAACAGGAGCCAGTGTTTGTCTGGCTCTTAACATTTGCAATCGTCAACAGAGGCTGTAATTTCAGATTTTCTATTACGAAGTACTAATATTTGGCCAGCGATTCGCCTTTGAAATGCCTTTGAACTTCATTTGGATGATATCCTGTTCCGATTCTATGATGAGATTATAGATTGTTAGAGTCGCGCCTATTCGGTTCTTTAGAAATGTTGTTTAACAATATTATTTGGCAAACGTTTTGTTTTATTTTTAGAAACTTTTTCATCGTTTAAGCCAAAGGATGCCAAACACTGGACAAAGGTCTCCCCCGAGAATTTCCTTTTTATCTTATTTGAATTTTCACTTAAGGCTATAGCAAATTCTGAAAGTATTATGGAATAGGTACACTATTCTTCAATTTGCCGTATCGCTAAAATTGTTTTATAATTACTTTGTCAAACCCTTTCTAACTACACTTGACCGATTCATGTCACAGTCAAAGAGATGTCTTGATGAACGAAGTCCTTTGAAGGGTCTCTAACGATTTCCCGAAACGGGTGCCATAGTAACAGCCCATTAGAACAAATTTTATCAATTAACGGTAACCATGTTCCACCCTTGGTGGTCCACTCCGAAAATCAATTGCGATGCGTTCGTCTCTTTCAATCATCATAACGCTGAGAGTGACGGACCTTAAGCCACTCAGTAATTAAATCTGAAACGTTTAACCCGTATATTATGTATATGCATGTATTTATGTAGGTATATATATATATTTTGTATTAATTTATATTATAATATTTTATGTATTGTATTAGATTTTATTTTATTGTATTTGTACTATTTTGCACCGCCTACTTAAATTCTCTGTTTTGTTTAATTTTCTGGTTAGCTGGAAGAGAATGCCACATGGCATTAAGCTCGCCTGTTGTACCACTGTATTTTTATGTGTGCAATAAAGATTTTAAATAAATAAATAAATAAATAATTTGATCCAATTAACCTGCTTGAGTGGATGTACTTTTATTACACCCATGTCGTTATCAACTATGTGACACTTTACCTTGGTAGATGCTATAAGCTACGAACAGCTACGAATTAGTATGAAATGCCATAAAAGTTCAAAACTTTTTGTTTGCTCATACCTCGTTAATCCTAAATACATTTCTACGTAAAGTATAGAAACTTTGGATAATGCCGGGTCCAACGGGTATAACGTGTAATGGAGTGTATCGTGTAATGTAATGGAAATAGTATGGGCAACACTTTATTATGTGATGCTCGTAGCCATCCACACGTAGAATTCGAGTTACATTACACGTAATCTTTCATTACACATTAAACCCGTCTGAATCCGGCTTTACAGTGCAACATTTTGGTAGCATGAAACGACCCTAAAGATGATCTAGGGTAGGGTGACTTTAAAGCTTATTTTCAACCTTTGATTTGACTAGTTTTATAATTGTTTTGCGTAATAGACCCCTGGCTTCGAACCGAGTTTAAACGGAGGTGAAACGTCAAAAGGGCTCATTAAAATGTTCCAACGAATATCAAAGTCGAAATGAAAAAGCAACGCCTTATCTTCGAAAGCGATTGCCTTCGGAGATAGGTCGGATTCTTCGGCGGATTGGATAGATAAAGTTATCTGAAATTTCTTTTGAACGTCACGTTATAAGGGATGTCTTCGGAATACCGAATTAGCTCTCGTATTCTAATTTGGCTTATGTATATGCAGGTGTTTGTGGAACATTTCGCGGTTCAAAGGGGCGAGGTTTTAATCTCAACGGCAGGAGATTTGATACTTTATGGCGTTCATTATTTTTGTTTTTGAGAAAAATAAGTATGTTCCACGTTATTTTTTTTATGCATAACAAGGCAGGTATTTGACCGTAATCATACCTGGTGTTAATTGAAATGCAATCTAGGATGATGGTTCGGTCTGTTAATCAGTATGATTGAACATTACCACCTTATTGGTATCGGCCAATTCCTTATACTAATTTTATCGGCTTGACCAAACTTACATCTGCGGGGGCTCTATACCTGTGTGGGCAGATCTGAGGACTATGGTTAGTCTTTTACCATTCGTTTTCCCATAATTCTACGGAAACCTTTAGCTGTAAGAAATAATATTCCCTTTGAGCGTCACTGTTGTGCGAATCTTTTGATCCCCCTTTCCCTTCAACCCCCCGTTTTTCATGTCACCTTGCATTGAACTTTTAATCCTGCGGGATGAAATATTGAAAAGAGGGCGATCTAAATGTACAAGTTGGATTTATTTTATAGGATGAGTTTTGGTATAAAAAAATACATAAGGCATAAATTGGGTATGATTCATGCGTGAAAAACTGAGTTTCTGTGCATTTATAACCAACGCTACACTTTGAATACTAAATAGGTACCCACATTTATTATACACACGAAGAAACTTTTGTCACTTTAAAAAATCAAGAAGTTTTTACCATTGATTGCTTTGACAATTTCTGTAACATGTTTATCTCACGGGAAAATATCTCAAGTTTATGTCCATTTTTATGGAAAAGTCGTTTCAAAATAATAACAAACTAATATTTATGTTAACCTCAGAAACGGTTCAGTTGGTTCTAATAAACATCGACAAATCCATGCATCGCGATACACAAGCC